CACACACACAGACGCCGTTCACCCACGCGCAATGGGCCTTGCACTTTCGAGAATGCCGTGGGGCTCCTGTCGTCAGACGTGGAGACGCGAGGGTTGCCCCGCCTTGCCCCACCACCTCGTGTGTGTGGAGAAGTTTAGCTTACCTTACCTTACCTAGTAAAATTCCACCCCGCCAGCAAGGTCGGGTGGGCTCTAGACACGGAGCGAGGGAAGCAGTGGAGCGGGAGCCGCAGCGGCACTGGGCGCGGCGAGGGGCGGCGGGGCAGGGCAGGACAAGCCGCGGGCGAGGAGGCGGAGAGGGGGGAGGGCCGAGGCCGCGGCGACCTTTCGCGAGGAGCGACACGAGGCCAGGCAGCGCGCCGGCAGCGACGATGGCGGTCTGGTTCGGCTCGCTCTGGATGGCGAGGTTGCCTAATTGAGTAATCAAGTAGTGATGAATTAATACCCCACTTAATTCGGCTCGCTCTGGATGGCGAGGTTGCCTAATTGAGTAATCAAGTAGTGATGAATTAATACCCCACTTAATTCGGCTCGCTCTGGATGGCGAGGTTGCCGAGGATGCCGGCCGCGACGTCCTGGACGCCGAGCGAGCCGGAGCGGAGGAGGCCGACCGCCGCGGGGATCGCGCCCGCCGCGCTGAGCGAGGCTTGGTGCTCCGGCGAGTCGGCCTGCGGGGGAGAGGGGGGCGGGGGCGCTCGCGGTGGGCAAGAGCGCGGTGGGGCAAGAGCGCGGTGGGCAAGAGAGCGGTGGGCAAGAGAGGGGAGAGAGCGGCGGCGTGCGGGCTGAGCCCACCATGGACATGATGGCGCGCGCCGCGTGCTCCTGCGCATCGCCCTTGGCACGCAGCAGCAGCAGCAGCGGCGCCACCCCGCCCGCACCCACCACCTGCCTCGCCTCGTCTGCGCCCGCCGCCGCCGCCGCTGCAATGGCCGCAGCAGCCTTCCCTTGCGCCTCCGCCGTGCCGCGCCGCAGCAAGAGCACCTGCTCTCGAGGGGGGGGAGGCGGGTGACGCTACTGCGAGGGGGCGGGGGAGAAACGCTGCCGCAGCGGCGTTGCCAGCTCCTCCACGCCCTCCGCCCCTTTGAAGTCTAGCCTCGGCGGCGGCGGCGGCGGCGCAGACTGCTGCTTGGGCGCCTTGGCATCCGGAGGCGCGGGCTTGCCGTTCGCCTTCGGGAGAGCGGACGAGGGGTTGGGTCTCGCCCGTGCGGGGGCGGGGGTGTCTGCCCGCCAGCCGCGTCGCACCGCCTGCGTGAGAAAGCCTCCGAGTGCGAGCCGCGCTGCAGCCGCCTCTGCTGTTGCGGCCGACGCCTCCTTCTTGGTCTTGGCCTCGGCGTGCGCCGACTCGAGGAGCACCATCTGCTGCGCGTCGGCCGGGCGCGGCGTGAAGTCGACCCACACGCCGGACTCCCGCGCGTTCCACCACCGCAAGTGCGCCACGAACGAAGTGCCCTCAGCCTGGTCGGCGCACTCGTAGACGACAAACCCCTTCACAATCGCCCACCCGAGCGCGGCCTGCACGCGCTCTGCGTTGCCGAAGGGATCATCGGGCTCGATCGTCACCGCGCTCGCCTTGGACGCGTCCTCCGCTGACGGTGTGCCCGTGAGGCGCACGCGCTTCCCGTTCAGCGCCTTTTTGCCCATGAAGGCCTTGAGCGCCGCATTGGAGGAGAAGCAGCCCGGCCAGCCCTTCGGCGGCGATGCGAGCGCGCCGGCGGCCGCAGCCGACTCGTTCGACCTGCGGACGTCGCTCGGCTCGGGCCAGTAGCGGGACATGGAGACCGACCCACCAGAGGCTCTCTCGACCCTCGGACAACCCAGTGGGGAAAACAAAGAAAACTTCGCCAATACAACTCTAGGCACGGGACTGGCGTCCGTTTTCTTTCTTTCTTTTCGGGACTGGCGCGCACTGGCACTAACACAGGTACGATTGTGAAACAAAGAAACCGCGGGATATTTCTGCAGCTTGGGGGCGCCACCTACTTTAAAATTGAAAATCCCTGTGAGCTGTGTGCTGTGTGGTGGCGGCGTGCCGTCGTCCCCCGTCCCTCTTTTGCGTTGTCTTTTGACTCTTTTTCTTTCTTTCTCGGGACCGCCTACTTCGCTAGTTCGAGCTAGAAGTCTGAATACCCCAGAAGGCAGGAACGCCGTCCTCCCGCGTCGCCCTAGAAGCGACTTGGGCAGGACACACTGTGCGCCGACTGATCGTCCTCTGCGGTGGGAATCTGCTCGCGACCATGCACATGGGAGGCGGAGATGGAAAGGGACCGGGGCGGGGACCGGCCACGCCCTACCGGCAAGGCAGCCCCTCGCGCGCGCCGATGTGGGCGGCGCTTACGCCGCGTACGGCACCGACGAGTGGTGGAGGTAGATGCGCACGTCGCCGTCGCCGCACCGCTTGTAGCCGAAGGTGTACTCGACGCGCACCTTGTCGCCCGAGGTCGCGTCAGTGAAGACGTAGTCGCCCATCGCCTGGTGGCAGCAGAGGCGGCGGTGAAGGCGGGAAGGGAGGGGGGGGGGGGGGTTCGGGCGGTGCCGGGCGCGGGCTCCGTCTCTCTCGACCCTCCCTCTCCCTCTCTCCCCCGCTCCGCGCCCCTCGCCTGCGCAGTCGCGCCGTTGAGGTCGATCTGGTGGTTGCGGAACGTGACGTCCTTCCAGCCCTTGCCGCCGTTGATCGCAAAGCCGGCGTCCTCGCCCTTGAACTTGTTGTTCTTCATCGCCTCGGCGCCGACAAAGTACGACATCGCGTCCTCCGCCGTCGGGCGGAACGGGTGCTCCGTCGCCTTGGTCGGCTTGAAGAGCACGTCGGTGTGGCCGTAGCCGTACAGCTTGCCCGCCGCCTCGCCCGCCGCCGCGACGAAGTCGCCCTCCTCGGCGTACACCTTGGAGATGGAGGCGATCGAGTCCGCCCAGAGCTTCTGCGCCGCCAGCACCTCCGCCTCCGTCACCGCCGCCGGCGCCGCAACGTACGGCACCGACGAGTGGTGCAGGCAGATGCGCACGTCGCCATCCTCGCACCGCTTGTAGCCGAAGGTGTACTCGACGCGCACCTTGTCGCCCGAGGTCGCGTCGGTGAAGACGTAGTCGCCCATCGCGTGCGCCACCGGGCCGAAGAGCTCGATCTGGTGGTTGCGGAACGTGACGTCCTTCCAGCCGCGGCCGCCGTTAATCGCAAAGCCAGCGTCCTCGCCCTTGAAGGCGTCATTCTTCATCGCCTCGGCGCCGACAAAGTACGACATCGCCTCCTCGCCGGTGGCGCGGAACGGGTGGTCCGTCGCCTTGGTTGGCTTGAACAGCACATTGCCGTGGCCGTAGCCGTACAGCTTGCCAGCCGCCTCGCCCGCCGCCGCAACGTAGTCGCCCTCCTCAGCGTACACCTTGGAGATGGAGGCGATCGAGTCGGCCCAGAGCTTCTGCGCGGCGACGACCTCCGCCTCGGTCACGTCGCCATCGCCAACCTTGGCCGCCGAGGCACCCTTGCGGTCGAGGAGCGTCTTGACAAGGCCGACGGCAGCGCCGCCAACCACCGCACCGCGAACGGTCGGCGGCAGGATCATGACAGGCTGCGCAGAGCGGGCGACCGCCGGGTGGCCCACGACGGCCGTGGAGGCCACGGCGCGGCCGTGCGCCGCCGGAAGCGGCGCCACGAGGGCGCTGGTCGCCACGGTGAAGAGCATCATGCTCAGCGTCTCCTTTTGGATCTGTCGACCTCGACAAGGTTCGTTCGATGGTTCCAAAAAATTGTTTGTGTTGATGACAAGACGTGTGGGTGAACCCTGCCCAGCCCCCCTCCGTGTCGCGATGCGCTCCCCGCTCCCCTTCCCCTGTGTCCCTGATCGTCCTTACAAGATCCTGCTCGTGCAGGTAGGGACCCTGAGCCTGTCCTTCTCCCACCCCTGTTTGGCGTGCCCGTTTTATTTATTTATTTACAAGGCACGGGCAGAGGAACGAGAGAAGAATATAGGGTGGATAAAGCGCCTGTTCACGGCATGGAGGGTGAGCCACGCCGAACGTACTGAACGTAGAACCGAGCGGAAGGAAGAGGGGGAAGATGACTCCGAGGAGCGAGGTGCGAGGAGGACGAACCAGTGGAAATCCAGTTGTCAGATGTCACGATGCACCCGAAGGGGACCCCAGCGCCGGCATCATCAGTGAAGGCACAAGTGTTCGAAGAGAGAGTGGACCTGAGCAACGACATGACTGGGTGGCAAATGATCGCAGTGGGCTGTGGGCGTCAGAAGACTCGTCCTTGCTCGAGGAGAGCTCGATAGACTCGAGGGGCCAGGATATGCAGCGAGGAGGACGGAGCTGCGCCGAAAGGCGCAAGAAGCAGCGAGAACAAGGGACAGGCAGGAGGCGGCGGCGCCGCAGAACGAGGCAGAGGAGAGCGACGCGACAGAAGAAGAAGCGACAAGGGAAAGAACGACGAGAGTGGGACGACCGCGAGGTGGCATGAAGGTTGCAGCGAGAATCGGCGAGAGACTGCGAAGAGAGATCTAGGAAGAGGCGGACGCCCAAGGGTGGGCGACGCACGGCTAGCGCACCACACCCCTCTCCTTAAAATCCCTGTGTGGTGGCGGCGTGCCGTCCTCCCATCCCTCCCTTGGGTTGTCCGTTTTCTTTCTTTCTTTCTTGATGTCGCTGCCATCTGTGATGCCCCTATGTATTGGGACCCTGCCACTTGCTCGTGCAAGACCCCGCCACCGCGCACCGGTACTTCTCGGGGCCGCCGCCTGTTCCAACGCAGTCAGTTCCAACGGCCGCGCCCATGAGCCGGCCATCTCGGCCGGCCCAAGCCGACGAGTAAACCACGGCCGTACTTAACCCACGCGGCTCGCGCGCATCACGAGTGAACTGAAGAGATGGGAGGAGGGATGGCCAGAGGAGGTCAGGAGGTGGCCAGAGGGGATGGCCAGAGGGGATGGCCAGAGGGGTGGATCGGACAGGGCATGCGGAGAAAAAAGAAGCACGGCCCCCCCCTTAAAATCCCTGTGGTCAGCGGAGCTGGGAATAGGACCGCGCGTGGCGTGGAGCGGTTGAGCATCCCTCGATCCCTCCGGGGGCCCCTCTGCGCCGGGGAGGCGTTGTTGGAGGCTAGGACGCAAGCGTCCGTAGCCCCCTTTTCAAACTCGGGGCCCACTGCCCGCTCGCTCCGACCCGAATTTGGAGCGAGAAGTGAAATGAAAACTCAATCCGAGATGACCGCCCGCCGCGCGTGCCCCTCTCCCGCGAACGACGTACATAACATATGACTGGACTGGACGCGCCGCCGAACGCATCGCGGCTCAAGGAGGAGGAGGAGGAGCCGCGGCAGTCGGTGCTCCAGGAGGAGGGCTTCCAGCCCGGGACTTTGGACGCCTCCAGCCTGGCTGCCGAGGTCCACCGCGCCTCCGCACGGTACACCGTCCACGACCTGCAGGAGGAACCGGAGCCAGTCCCGGCTGAGGAGGTCCACCGCAGCTCCGAGACGTACATCGTCCACGATTTGCAGGAGCCAGAGCCGGTCCAGCAGCCTCCCAGGGTGAGAGCCCTGCCACCGTCTCCCGCTCAGTCCAAGTCCCGGCCACGCCGACCGCGACTGCCCTGCGTTGTCTGCAGGAGGAGCAGAAGCGCGAGGAGCACCGAAAGGGAGAGGCACGGCGGCACAAGGAGAATAAGGCTCGCACAACGGGCCGGCCGCGCGGCCACGATGCCAGGCCTCTCCCTCCTGAGGGCTTGGCCATGTCCGGCGACCCGACGGGATACGAGGTGGGCTTTGCGCTCGCCTAGCGCTCGCAGCAGCCGAGAGCATCTCGCCGTCAAGGCCCCGTCCCAACCCACTCGTGCGCTCCGCCCGTCTCCCACACGGCCACCACCCGCCACAGGTCCTGCTGCGTGCGGCGGTGTGGGCATGCAGCATACAGCGGACGGCGACCCTGGCTGCGTGTGGCAGCTTGGACGAGCTCTTGTCCCACATGCCCGCGGTGCTGGAGGCGCGCGGCCGGCGGTCTCTGTCGCGGCTGCGCACGCCAAAACGCCTCACCCGGCCGGCCCTTTACAGGAGCGGCGCTCCTGGCCCAAGCGGCAGCTCATCAGCCACGCCGGCGAGGGCGCTCGCCCCCGGCGCCCGCCTTGGCTCGCGGCTTAAGAGCGGCGTGTGATCCCCTTAGGCGTCGCCGATTTGGAGCGCGCGGGGGCGGCGGTGGAGGCGCTGACGCGCCTGAGGCGCGTGGCCGATTATCGCGCATCGCTCGGGCACGTCAACCCGATGGGCGACTTGCTGCTGATAGCGGTCCCGCTGGCGATGCTGCTCGTCACTGCCTTTATCGCCCTCTCCCTCGGCAATGGATGGCTCTCGCAACGCGCGGGGCGGCGGACCTTCTACTCCTAGAGATAGCAGCGAGATGTGGAATCACACCCCACCGCGAACACGACACGGGTCCCCGGCGAGGAGCGGCGTGTGCCGCGCCGGGGTGTGCTGTGGGGTGTCTGGCTGAGGCTCTGCTGTGCGGGCTAGACGACGTGCAGCCAAAGCGGCCACAGGTTTTTGTACCATTGCGCGCACATGGCAGGCGCACAGCTGCGTGTTGAAACTATTAGGTTGATCGAGAGCACACGCGTGCAAGAAGAGCTGCGCTGCGCCAGTTAGCTGCAGCGCGCGATCACTCCTTCTGCGCGGGCGGCCTCAGCGAGAATGGATTCGGCCACTTGGCGTCCGGCTTCCAGATGAAGAGTATCTGTGAGCAGGCGGGAGCGGCGGTCGGGGTTTGGCTCGCTGAAGCCGCTGTCGGACTGAAGCAATCGGCACCAGCGGCACCCCAAGCACAGCGAGGCCTAGCTGGACGTGCACCGGCTTCATGGCCGACCTCGTGGCTGCCCGGGCGCCTCCGTCGTGCCTGGCCGGGCGCGAAGTGGCGAAGAGCTTGGGTAGTGCAAGAATTCCTGCGGGAATAGTCGCTTTGATTGGGAAAAACAAAAAACAACGCCCCTCTGTGGCACCCACTGTTGTTTGTTTCATAACACGAAGGCTAGCTCAAAATCGCCAGGTCCTTTCGATCCATGCTCGCATTCTCTGTGCTCTCACTGCCCACGGTCGCCGCTGCGACGGTGGCCCCGAAGCACTGGGGCGCGCCGCGTTTTGCCGGAAAATCCGTCCTTGTGACCGGCGGCGACTCAGGCATTGGTCTTGCTGCTGTCGAGGCCTTCTACTATGAGTGCGCCCGGGTCATGATGATCGGTCACGATGAGGAGAAGACGCGAGCGGCTGCGGCGAATCTCACAGCGCTGCCGGCGCCGCTCGGCTGCCCGTCGGATAAGCCGGCGCCCGCGCTCAAGTGGCTTGCGATTGACGTCCGAGAGCTGAGCAGCGTTGAGACAGCAGTCGCAAGCACAATGGATGCCTTTGGCTCGCTGGATGTGGCAGTCAATAACGCCGGCTGGCCCACCACGAGCGGCTGGCCTCCACCAGATCGGCGACGACGACTTCCCATCCTACTTCAACCACTCGCTCGAAATGTCGGTCAACGTCAAGGGCACCCTGTTGTGTATGCACGCCCAGATAGCGCTCTGGCTCAAGGCGGCAAGCAAAGGCTCGACGCTCGCAATCGTCAACGTCGCCAGCGTCTGCGGCGAGGCGGCCTTCTGCGGGCCAGCCTACACCACGTCAAAGTGGGGCGAGATTGGCTTCTCCAAGCAGGCGGCATCCCACTATGCTGGGAAGGGGATTCGCGTCAATGTCCTCGCCCCCGGTCCGGTCAATACGCCGATGCTGCGCGGTGGTCTGGCCGAGGACGACCCTCGCTGGCTGGCGAGGAAGTTCATTATCGAGAAGAGCGTGCCGATGGGCCGCATCGCCGAGCCGTGGGAGATGGCGGGGCCGGTGACTTTTCTCTCCAGCGACGCATCCAGCTACGTGACCGGGGTGGTGGTGACTGCCGACGGCGGAATGGTCAACCACTGATGTCCACAAAGGGTGTGGAATCGTCGAGTCGCTATCCTCCCTTGTTACCTGGCGGCTCGCGGACGCGCTTCGGCGCGGCGCACGATTGCGCTCTAATCGCATTCTGTTCATTAATCGCGCCGCGTTTTCACGGTCGTCTTCTGCTGCATGTTCTGCTGCTTCTCTCTCGTCTCTGTGTGTAGTGACTAGTGTGTGTCTCTCCGTCGGCGTCGCGACGAGTAGTGACTAGTGTGTCTAGTGACGCGGTTTTTCCGCGCCGTCGCCGGCACGCCCGGCCCCCGCGGCTCGTGACTCGTGTACACCGAGCTCTCCGAACGGTTTAGTACCTCCCAAATACAGATTACAGTACGTACAATGCTACACAATACAATCTACACCACCAGGCACCACCAGGCGTGGTATATCACAAAAAGCTCTCTCTCTCAGTCGCTGCCTCTCCGTGCCTGTCCGCCGTGGCCGCTCCGCCATCCGGCTGGGGGGCACGCCTCGCCGCAAATAAGCGCAAGCCCTCTCGGAACTCGCTCTCGCCGAGCCCTTGGGGCGTGCGCACTCCGATCACGCCCTGCTGCGTGTCGGCCTCCTTGCAGCGCCCTGTCACCTGCCCCACGTGGTCGCCCCAGTTGCAGTCGTCGAAGAAGAGCATCCGGTCGAACCGCACGCCCGTCGCCTCGCGCAGCAGCGGGAAGTGGGTCGCCCACTTTTGCGGCGACAGCGGGGCCTGCCTCCCAATCATGTTGACGTCGCGCCCGTCCCAGTCGCGCATGAGCAGGCTCCACACGCTCACCCCCGGCAGCACCTCGAGCATGCCAAGCGCGGCGCGCCCCACCCGCTCCGCAAAGCGCGTATTCGCGGACGACGCGAGAGCGACCCGCATGCCGGGGAAGTTGCCGTCGGCGTGCTCCTGCAGCGCGATGAGCGCGCCCCGGTGCAGGCTGATCCGGTCGCCGCCGCTCAGCACGCCAACGACGCCCTCGCCTCGCCCGTTGAGGTCGCCTCGGACCTCGTCGCGTCCCGGCTCCGGCACCTGCGCCATCTCAAACATCTCCTTGTCCCACAGGCAGGCGTCCAGGTCGAAGACGCACAGGTCCGGTAGTACGGCCACCGCGGCCATGCGCACCGACCCAGCGCGGGAGGAGCCTCCCGCAGCAGCGGCGGCCTGCTGGGGAGGGGATGGAGCTGCGGCCTGCGGCTCGGCCGACTCCTGACCGGGCGGCGCCGGATTGCACATCGCGTCGAGCAGGCTTATGCCGTCCTCCCTCTCCTCCTCCATCGGCAGACCCTCGTCAGTCGCTGGGCCTCGCTTCTCCGGATCTAGAGCCCGCTCAAAGCGATAGCCAAAGTCGAACGTGGCGCTGGCAGCGGACGCCGCCTGGTGCGGCAGGCACACGATCGCCGGCAGGACGGCACGCCGCGCTGCGGTGGGCCGAAGCGCGAGCGCGGTTGGCAGATGCACGAGCGCAAGCAGTGCCAGGCTGTACATCATCGATTTGGGCGTCAGCGGCGGCCAACACAGAAAAAACAGCATGTGCTACTGGGCTGGGCGCCCCTGAAGCCACTTCCATGTCGACTAATAACGGACTAGGTCCAGCCCTGGAGGGCGGCCTCGGGGAGCCTTGGCGCGCGGACGCCGGAGCCCGCGTCTGAACCACACGTGTCCCTCCATTCACACTCTCCCAGTCCTTCCTGGTCTAGTGCCCGACTTCTCCCACCGCCCGTCGTGCTGAGTTGGTCGCACCTCCGTGCATCTTCGTCCTTTAGACGTTTCACCTAGAGCAAGCAGGGCGGCACGCCCCTAGGTCCACCCGCCAGCCGGGTGGGGCTTGCACGTGGCAGCGACTCGACTGGTCGCGTCAGCCCCTTTGTGAGGCTTTTCTCAGAGTATCCGGGCCCTGGATGTGAGGTAAGGTAAGGTAAGGTATCCGTCTCGCACAACACGGCAAAACTTATATGAGTCGGGTCGAGACTTAAGTTTTAAGTTTTTTTGTTGTCGCGGTATAAAGAGACCACCATGGATCAGACGGACCTCGACGGGGTGATGCCCGATTTCAGTGCGTGGCCCAAGAAGTTTGTGTCTCCGACCCCTCCACACCCCTACAGCGGCACCCCTACCCCTCCCGCCGTTTTAGGGCCTCCTGACCCGCACTCAGCGATGAGCTCAAAGCACATCCTCGCACTCATACGCTCTGACCCAGAGACGACCGAGAAACTGAAACAAAAAGTTGACCAGGCCTTTGCAGAAGGCGAGGTTAGTGAAAAAGAGTCTCGCAAAGCTGTTGAGAATCGAATCTATAACGATTGGATTCAGACGTTGGCGAGGGCGCTTACGGAAGTCTGCAAGGCAAACGTCGGCGTGCCTGTCAGCTTCGAGGATTCCGGCGGCCCGAGGACGTGTTTGTACTCATTGAACAAGTCGTACAAACACAAACACGCGGCGGGGGGACGACAATACGGCTCTACTTTGCAGCAGTTACCCAATTGCTTTGTCAAATACATCGTTCCATTCGCCACATCGTTCGACCAGTCGGCTGCACAAATACACGCAGCTATATTTATTAGTAAGGGCAGTGGGGGTCTGCACGACCCAATCACTCCCCCACTCGCTCAATTTGAATGTTATGTTCAGAATCGAGACTTGTTTCGAAGAATTTCTCGGGCCCCAAACATGCTATCGTCCGAAGACGGTGAGGCAGAGCAGACGCGCAGGGCGAGACGAGGGAGGGAGCAGGACTTTGCGGAGATCAGCAGGAGGATGTACGAAGAGATTAGGAGCAGCAGGGACCCTAGGGACCATGTGGAAGACGGCTAGTGCTAGTCCCCCATCGGGAGGACGACCCCGGCTAGTCGCCGACCACACCCACAAAGAACCCTGCACAAAGATCGCAAGGGCGGGGACCTGTTCCTTTTTACCCATCTCACAGTAGAGAGGTGTCCGTTTTTATTTATTTATCGTCCGAACTCTGTTCTCATCTTCCAGCCCGTCGTATTCAACTGAAGCTCGCAGGGCGAATCAGACTAGTCCTCTTCTATTAGCTTTTGACAAGGATGCTAAGAGACTGCAACATTTCTTATGCGAGACGTTGGCAGATTTCGAACCATACAAGCAGTTTTGGCCGCTGGTGAGCCAAGATAAGGGCAACGAGCGCGGATCTTTCATCGCGCACGTACTCCAGTCCGAGATCATGGCAGCCTCTGAGGCTACCAAGGACGTCTTGAGCTACCGTCGCCTTAAGGCCCAGCTTGAGTCGTACGTCAAGGACGGCGAGATCATCACCCCCCCCCGAGGCCCCGCCCACCAAGCAGTACTGTGACAACCAGGCCGCCATTGCCTCTGCCTACAACCCCGAGAACCACGGCAAGCTCAAACACGTCGAGCGGCGCCACTTCTTCATCCGCGAGGCCATCGAAGACAAGATCTGTGTTCCTTTTGTCCGCAGCGACGAGAACCTCGCCGACTTCTTCACGAAGCCGCTCAAACCCCAGCGCTTCTTCGAGCTGCGGGACAAGATCATGAATGTCAAGGAGCCTTCCTCCCAGTCGGACGGGAAGTAATCTCCTTCACCGAGACGTGGGCGCGGGCGCCGCGCCGCGAGTCGCGAACAGTGCCGCGCCCCCCCCCCCCCCCCCCCGCGAGAGCCATAGACTCTCCAGTGCATGTTCCATGCCCCATCGAGAGGGACACTTTCCTCTCTATCCATGTGAGCGACTCGACTACGTCACTACGTCGAGGGGGGGGACGTCTGAACCACACGTGTCCCTCTATTCACACTCTCCCAGTCCTTCCTGGTCTAGTGCCCGACTTCTCCCACCGCCCGTCGTGCTGAGTTGGTCGCACCTCCGTGCATCTTCGTCCTTTAGACGTTTCACCTAGAGCAAGCAGGGCGGCACGCCCCTAGGTCCACCCGCCAGCCGGGTGGGGCTTGCACGGCCCGGACGCACCTGCCAGGCTGCGCCACCTGCGACCTCGGCCCTCGGGCCTCGTGTGAGGAGCACAAGGACGAGCAGGTCGTTCCTGCCTCTGATCTATGCGTATATGCCACTCTCGCGGCTTGCAGCGCATCACTCGCGCGTGCTCTCCAGGAGCTATGGCGGGCGCGTGTGTGGCGTGTGGGGCTGTAGCCTGTGTTTGGCCGGTTCTGACCCGTTTACTTGGTTGGGGCCACAAGAATCGCACACGGGGAGCGGCTCAGGGGCCCAGTAGCAGCACAAGCCGCGGAATCGCCAAATGTCACAACGTCCAACCATTTGGCTGGACCCAGTCAACAATCGTTTTTCTCAATCTCGGCGTCTCTCTCTCCTCGGCGTGATGCCTCAGCCGTCCCATCGACACACATATGGGTCGCACAAAAGCTCGGCAGACCTCTCAAGACAGCGCGCGCGACGCTGTCGACGCCGCTGCGCGGCGTGCCCATGACTTTCACCTCGCGTTCAATGGATGCGAGGACGCGTACATACACCACGCGCTCGTCACGGCGGCTTTGTCGCCGAGGGACTTCGTCCTCTGCCTTGGGACCTCGCACTTCTTCACGGAGGCAGTGCTCACGGAAGCGCACATCGTGGAGAATCTCATAGTCTTCGCGCCGTTCAAGCTCGCCTCTCTCCTCGCTGGCACCTCGCGGGCGAGCGGCCAGCCAGTGCCTTCAGCCTCCCCCTCCTCTTCTCCGCCCTTTGCCGCACGGGCCAACGCACACGCCTCGCGCGCAACCGCAGGTAAAGGGGGCTGCCTTCATGGAGCAGGTGCTGTACGCCTTGAGGTACTTCATGGTGCTACTGTCCGCGCCGCCGCTCTTCCCGGGCAGCAGACTCGTGGTGCCTGGCAACGAAGGCCGCGAGCAGGCAACACCGACTCCTGATCTCGGCTAACCTCGGCTAATCTCGACTGATCTCGGCTGATCTCGGCTGATCTCACCCCAGGCGGTGAGGATCGCTCGGGTGATGCCATCACTGCTGAGGCACCCAGAAATCATGCCTGCGACCGTGGCGCCTCGTTCTCGAGGTTCGAATCCCCCCACCAATCTCGCCCTGTCACAAGCCGGGCCTCGAATAGGACAACGCCGCCGCCGACAACACCTATTGGCTCAAAACCCTTCTGCCACAACGAATGATCAACTACTTGATGCGCGCAAAGTCGGTCGCCGCCCTTCAACTCTTGGTGAGTGTGGCTGAGTGGCTCTCATCACGGATTAGTGATCGCATTAGTCCACCTCGCACCCCCCCCCGGCCTCGTGTAAACGTTAGCGGAGTCAGAGTTCACGCGCAGATGTACGCGGCCACATCAAGCAACTGGGGACCGCAGGTGCAGTGGCGTCTGCTACAGCTGGATGCGCTGGGCGCCGAGCATTCCGAGGCGCACCGGCGGGAGCGGCGCCGCACCATCGTCCGGCGCTGGAGTGAGCTGGGCTGCTGGGAGGAACTCGTGGTTTGCTGATGGACTCGGTGAGCACTTGAGCCACGTGATTGTGGTAGGCGAGCTGCGCTGGGAGGCCCTGTCGTGGATGACGAGCCTCTACGTGTCCGGTGCCCTGCTCCACGTCCTGGCCAGCTCTCTCACCCTCCCTCAGCACCTGGCGGACTTCAGCATGTCTACATCCCCCACCAAGTTCGACGATTCCAAGGGAGACAGGGAGCGGCTGGTCTTGGCCTACACCTACATAAACAAGGCGTGCGCCGCCTTCATCGCGCTCGCTTCCGTCGGGATCTGCTTGCTGTATAGCTGGCTGACACCCTTCCGTCGGGAACGAAGACCCGTCCTCCTCGCGACGTGGGTTGTGGGGCAGAGTATGATAGCGGCCCCGGTGGCCGTCTTCGCGGTTTCGATTGCTCCCTGGTAGGAGGGGAACGAGATGATAGTAGGGAGTAGAAGAAAGCAAAGAGGAGCTCTGGGCCGGCGCGGGGCCCCCCGGAGGCACCGTGCGCCGCGTCGCAGTGCGGAAACGGGGCCCCGGCTCTATTAGTCTCTATTAGCACCGACTTCCCGAATGATTACGGTTGATTAGAGGGCAGATTCGGAGAGATCTCGAGGAGTACATGCAGATAGACCCTCCAACCATCAGAAAACTCCGACCTGATCGGTCGTACTGACCGCCGACAGATCACTCCAGACAGCAGACAGGCCGACGTCTGCACGCGGCCGGCCGGGCGAGAGGCTTGACACGATCCGACCCTGCGACCCTGACGCTGCTGCTCTAGCTATCAGCCATGGACTGCTGACTGCTGCCACAATGTGCGACCTGTGCTGGCCCACTTGGCGGCCTTCCCGGTCAGTGGTGAGGCGCAGTTCAGAGCTGTCGATGGCGCGATGCCGCACTGGTCCCACATTGGTGACACGATACCACCACGTTTGCCGGTCCAAGAGAGAGGCACCGGCGCTGTCCTGAGAAGGTGCGTGGTCCCTCTTGACTGCCCATGCGCGCGAGGCTGTGTAGGCATAGCCTCGAGAGTGCCAGCAGCCAATCCGAGGCAGTTTGTGACGCGCATTGCGCCAGAAGCGTGCACGCAGCTGGAATGACACCTTCCTACTGGCCGTACGATCAGGTCGTCACTGAATGCTGGGTACTAAGGCCGCGAGCTATGCAGGTGATCAATTGTGCAGCATGGCACGGTCAGCAGCGCCGACAGGCTGTCGCAAGGCGTGATAGCATGGCCGCAAGTACGCCGAATTCCCATGAAAACAAGTAAAAAATCGCAAAAAAGAAAAAAATCGCGAAAAAATCGGCGCCTGCGGCGGGCCATGGGACCCCATCTCCCCCCCGCATGGACACCCTCTGGGGCCCCCGCGCCGGCCCAGAGAAGAGGAGCCCTGCGCATGCACGACCGACGACTCCACGCAGGAGAAGCCCCTCCCGCCCGTGCTTACGTGTGCTTGTCCTTGCGCAGCGGAGTAAGCGCCCTACTCTGCTCTCGGGCTGACCGGGTAATACACCGCAAATCAGTTATTTCACGACACACACAAAAAAAGGTCCCGTGCTTCGGTTCCTTTCCCGCTACATAGACTCGACTGTACTCTACTCGCAGGGCGCTCCAGCCTCGTCCAGCTCCAGCTGGCAGCAGCACACGCCCTTCGTACCTCACCGATGCCGCTGCCTCTACCGCTCGACTGTCATCTCTTTCCAAGTCCGTCTCGACTCGTCAGGGAGCCAGTACGTGCAGCCCTTGGCGCCGGCTCTGCAGCCTACAAGGTAGAGGGGCGTGTCGGCTCTCGTGTGGTCTATTAAGAGTGGGAAACTGAGTGATGGCGTCCCAGCGCACCAAAGAGGGGCTGACCGCCGAGATCTCTCACGAGGGCGTGCATCTTCTGAGAGACGACGTTCTCGACAAGCAACGCACGCCCTGAGCCAGCAGCGACCGTGCGCAAAGCGTGCAAAGTTTTTCTAGCGTGACCCTTGCGCCTTGCCGCTCGCTCGACGTGGATGTTGGTCAGTGTCAGGCAAGGCACCTTCTTGCCGTGAGGAACCTGCAGCGGGCTGACGATATCGAGGACCCGGACGCTAACCTGAGTGGCGCCGAGCGCGCAGCTGGCAGTCTCGCGGCCGCGAAGTTGCGAACGCAGAACGTCACAGGCTGATTTGGTGGGCGCCAGCACCGAGACAGCGGGCGAGGTCGCCGCGAGGAGCACGATCAAGCGCATCGAGTGCGAGCGCATCGATCAACCAGAGGAAGATTCCGCTATTTTTCTTTAATTCTTATCGCTCGCTTGCTGGCACCTTCCCCGCGCGACAGACAACCTTTTCTTCCAATAGCTAAAACTGTCTCGAAAAAAGAAACGCGACTTTGTTACCGCGGCGCCTGTAAAGTGCCTCTCCCGCCAGGTTGTGCAGCGCCGCGACGGCGGTCAATCAAGCAAGCCGGCGCGTGCCAGAGACCCTGCACCCGAGATTGGCCCGAGATTGGCCCGAGATTGGCCCGAGATTGGCCCGAGATTGGCCCGAGATGAAGCGGGGGGCGGCGATGCGCTAGGCGGCCCACATGCTCAATACCACACCACCCACGGGACTGAACCCACACTGGATTCGGTACTATGGGGTGCGGTAGGCGTCGTACATCCTCAAGTACACCGTCTCGACCGGCCTCTACTTTTACCTCTACAACGAGGCTGGTGCTTAGTACCTCGCGGCTCCCTCTCGGCTGCCTCTCGGCTACCCCTTGGCTACCTCTCTCTCGGCTCCCTCTCGGCTCCCTCTCGGCTCCTCTCGGCTCCTCTCGGCTTCACTCGGCTGCCTCTCGGCTCCCTCTCGGCTCCTCTCGGCTCCCTCTCGGCTCCCTCTCGGCTAGCCCTCGGCCACCTCTCGCTGTCTCACCACGGCCTACAAGCGAGCCCGCGTCGATGCGTGCGGCTTGGCGGACGGAGACCTCTCGATGGCGGACCCCATGCAATTCGGAATGGGAATTGCGCTTCGGCGGTTAGTGGTGCACTAACCTCCGAGAAACCCTTCGGGTCGCTCCTCATCGCAAACCCTGTCAGCAGAGTCCTCCTACGGGAATGTACGTAAGAGCCACGTAAACGGAATGAAGGCGCGCCCGTTACGGACGCACGAGCACGGAGTCGGGTGCTGGCGAGAGGCTCGAGACGCGGGCGCCGATGCGGTGGGAGGCCATCGGGCGTGCCACCCCTCGGCGTGCAACGAGTGACGACTTCGCATTTTTCTTTTTTTGAGAGCGCCTTCGTTGTTTATAGTAGAAACCCAACGGTCCCTTGCGAGTGCGCAGCCCGCCCCCCGAAAGCTATTCATACGTAACGGTAACAGCTACGTACCAGGGCCAACTCATCAGCCCTCGACCGGTTTGGGGGTGGGGGGGGACGGACGCGACTCTCCCGTCTCGTAACGGCCCGTCTCGCGCCGGCGTTGCGTGGTTGGAGGTTGAACGACCCCTCCGCCATCGCCCACGCCCTGTGCAACCCGACCATGGCAGCGCCGTCCGCGGGCCAGCAAAGGTATTTCAATGTGATGGCGACGGGGCAGATCGAGTCGGGTCGTTTCGAGGGCAACTCCTCACTCTACTGCCGCTACGTCTTTTCGTGCGGCGAGGACTGGTGTCACACGACCCGTTCTGTCACCAGTCAGGCAACAACACACGCTCACCGGACCGCCATCCTTCTCCCTCAGGTCCGTCATGTGCGGCGTGGAGGAAGGCATCACGCAGATGGCCTCCTCCTCTGGCTCGACTGCAAACGGGTCGGTGGTGCGCACAGACGCAGCCCGGCCCAGTCTACGCACCGCCTTGGAGCGAGTGTGGCCATACCTTTCCGCCCCTGCACCAGGTGTGGAACTTCCCCATCGACGCCACCTTTCGCTCGACGTGCCCACACGGATGGTAACGCACACAGATAGAGAGACACACCCGCGGCTCACCAAACCTTGGCCAAGGGGGGCCAACACGCGGGTCTCGCCCTCTGACAGGCCGCAGCTTGTCCTCTCCGTCTACGGCGAGGACTACTTTGGACGTCCGGATATGATCCTGGGGTGAGCTCTCGGCTGCCCTGTCGCCCCAGCCATCTCTCGCGCCCCAACGCTTACGCCACGTGCTCCCGCCAAGGTACGGAGCAGTGCACCTGCCTCTCACGCCCGGCCGCCACCGCGTGACTGTGCGCACGTTCCGGCCGCTCGCTTCCTCGCTGCTCGGCCGGCTGCAGTCGTGGCTCAACGGGATGCGGCCCGAGTTCATCGAGTCGCTCTTCCCTGCAAAGGGCGAGGGGCGAGAGGCGACCAGTCCCTGCATCTGTTCGCCCCGGCCCGCTCTCTTCTCCACCACCGTATCCTATCGACCAGGTGACGCGCGTGCAGTCCTTTGGCTCGGTGAGCCTTGTGCTCGACGTCGCCATCCAGGGCATGGAGCAGCTCGGATACGCGGTGACTCCGCCCCCCTCCTGGGCGAGCCTCCAAGCCCCTGCCTCCCCGTTTTTGCCCGCCGACGCCCGCCCCTCATCCTAGGTGCCGCCGCCTCGCGCCGAGGGCGTTCGCCTCATCGACCCTCTAGCTGCCACTATCTCGTGATGGGGGCGCGCGCGTGAACCTGACAGGAAATCCGGGGCCACCGAAACTCCGACCGCGCCGCAGCGCGCAGGAAAGCCGCTTCGGCCTTATTTGCGGGATTGCGCGCCCGGCGCGGCGTTCTGCCGTTTATGATCGCTGCGGCTCTCGGTTGCGTTCATTCAGAGGCGTCTGAGACGCATGTGGCGTGACATTCCTCATTCTCAGAAAAACCGCACATGCTAGGCGGGGGGGGGTAGTCGGCCTGTCGGCGGCAGAGCTACCTTGTGGCCAAAGACAACGCAAAGGACCCAAAGAATATCGGAAAAAGAAGCAAGGAGAAAAAAGAAAGAAAGAAAACAGACACCCCAAGGGAGGGATGGGAGGACGGGACGCCAGAAGACTCTGGAGAAGTGCGTGCACTTGGAGCACTTGGAGTGCGGTCATTAACCTCACGTCCAGGACCGGGGAGCTAAGAAGCGCACCCAGTTGGCCGGACGCTCGGCATCGGGTTACGGGCAAGAGAGCCCTAGCCCCGGGGGTGCGCGGTCGCAGGGCGTAAAAGTTGAATTCTTCCAGCGAGGCAACGCCGCCTCGGCTGACAACGAAGACAACGAAGACACTGATCAACGAAGACAGAGCCAGGAAAAATCGCGCACGCGCGCGGGCGCCGCAGCCCGAACAGATGACGCCCTTTCTGTTCCTCTCTCCGCTGCTAGCCGGCGTCACCACCTGCCCGGCCGCGTGGCGCGGCCATGTCGCGCCGCGGCTGCAGCCTGTTCGCGCGGCCGTGGAGGACAGCGCGGAGCCCGCACCGCATCGCGCCGGCTTCGTCTCCATCATCGGCATGCCAAACGTGGGCAAGTCGACGCTGATGAACCGGCTGGTCGGCGAGCGGCTCGCCATCATGACGCCAAAGGCGGGCACGACGCGCCACCGCATCCTCGGCATCCTCAACGGAGATGACTATCAGCTCATCTATTCGGATACGCCCGGCATTTACTCCGAGCCGCAGTATAAGCTGCAAGAGGGAATGATGGCCGCGGCGCGCGCTTCTCTCTCTCTCGCTCTGCGCCCAGCCTCTCCACCGCAACACCGCCACCGCCGGCCTCCTTCCCTGCAGGTGCGCGGCTCACTCAACGACGCCGACCTGGTGCTGCTCGTGCTGGACGTCTTCCAGCAGGGCTGGGAGGACGAGGCCATCCTCAGGCAGGTGGAGGCACAGGCGTGCCCGCTCATCGTCCTGCTCAACAAGGTGTCGCCGCCTCCGCCACCGCCACCGCCACCGCCACCGCCACACGGCCTACGCGACCTCCTCACTCTCCGCGCCGCGCCGCGCGCTATCTGTCCGTCGGCGCCGCACGCCGCCTCCCCACCCCGCCAGGTCGACCTGCTGCGCGACGGCTCGCCGCTGCCGCAAGAGACGCTCCGCCGGCTCGGCACAGAGCAGGAGCTGCTCGACAGCTGGCAGCAGCGCTTCCCGCAGGCGCCGCCGGAGCCCCTCTCCGCCCCCTTTTCGCCCAGCCCGCCCTGCCCACCGGCCGCTTCTTTGCAGGCGAGCGTGCTTCCGGTGAGCGCGGAGACGGGCGAGGGGAGCGAGGCGCTGCTCGCCCGCGTGCGCGCCTGCCTGCCTCTGCACGAGCCTTTCTTCCCGAAGGACCAGCTCACGGACCGGCCCGAGCGCTTCTTCGCCGCCGAGATGCTGCGCGAGGCCATCTTCACCGGCTACCGGCAGGAGGTGCCATACTCGTGCGAGGTTGCAATCACCGCCTTCAAGGAGCTCGACGAGATCATCCGGGTCAAGGCGACCATCTTTGTCTCGCACGAGACGCAACAGGGCATCGTCATCGGCCGCAAGGGCGCCGCGCTCAAGGCGGTCGGCTCAAAGGCGCGCAAGGAGATGGAGGCCTTCTTCTGCAAGCAGGTCTACCTGCAAACCTCGGTGAAGGTGCGCAAGGACTGGAGGCAGGACCCGGCCGCCCTGAGGGACTTTGGGTACACGCACTAGAGTCGTGCGCAAAAAATATTTTTTTGGGTTTCTTTTTTCTTTTTCCGCCGGCCCAGGGCTGTTGCTGGCGTGTACATGGCGCAGGACGCAGACGGTGGAGCGTATCGCTCCGCCTTTGCGTCGTGCCGCAACACACTCGAGGCGCTGGCGCGCGCCAGCGACGAGGACGGCCGCCTCGCGGCGCGCACTTGGTGGGTGACGTGCATGGGATCGCACCTGTGCCGTGCCGAGTACAGTGAGTGGCGCGCCGAGGCGGCGGAGCAGCTGCCGAGCCAGCTCACGGCGGCGCACACCGCCGTCGCGGTCGGCCTCGCCGGCTTTGAGCCGATGGCGCGCTGCGTCCTCGCGTGCGGCGAGGCGGTCGGTGTCCAGCCGGACAAGACGCTCGACCACGTCGAGGCGTCGGGCGCGCGGCAGCAGGCCGAGGGCGAGTGGCAGCGAGCGACGGCGGAGGTCGAGCCGCTGCGGCAGAAGCTGCAGGACACGTTTCTGAGCAGGACCAGCTGGCTCGGCCGCCGCAAGCCCGCCCTCGCCGCCTCGGCGTCCGAGATGGGCATCGACGAGGTGCGGGTCTGCCAGGTGTACGTGTACGGCCTCGCGTCGCGGCTGGCCGCGTGCGCGCCCGAGGCGGCGGCCTTTGCCGAGTCGGCGAACATGCGCGACGTCAACTCCCCGCTGCTCGGGTACGACGAGGCTCGGTGGGACCCGACGGCAGATCTCTGGCGGCGGATGGAGATGTGCGTGCACCGAGGGGCGGCCGCCGCGAGCACCGATCTCGACCGCGCATGGCGGCACGGCAAGGGGTAGGCGACAACACCGCAGAACACTGAACACCCATGTCCGACATCCTCCACCGCACGCGCTAAAGCCTAAACCGCGCGCCTCCGCTTTATTAATTAATTTAGTGTCACCAAAAATTGCTGACACTCTGCCTCGACCTGATGAGACCTCCTACGGCACACATGACACAACCTGAAACCGAGCACCTGCCAGGAGCCACCTCTCGAAGCCACCTCCTACTCGCACTCCATGTCGCCGTCCCCCCGCATCTTTTTGCTGCTCCGCGCTCCGCGCTTTCTCTCCCTTCTATTGGAAGTCGGGAGCCCAGAGAGTGGAAGTCAGCCACAGCGTAGACTCCCGTTCCCGGCCGCGCATCCGCGCGGTGGCTTATACCAGAGAGGAGGCGAGACCGGCGCCTTTGCCGCTCTCAGAGCTGCGGCACAGATCCGCCTTTCTTGGAGGCGCCAACAACAACAATCGCGAGGACACAGACGGTGGCGGCGCCGCCTGCGATGGCTGCTTTCTGCTTGCACTCATCCTTCTCCATGTCGTCAGGGCAGTACTCGTCCCACAGATCCTCCTCGGGCGGAGGCATCGTCGGCGGCGTGGGCGGCAGCGGCGGCGGCGACGGCGCAGCCAGCGCCTTCATGAAGATGACCTTGCTGCCGCCGCCGAAGAGGAAGCCGCCTCCTTCCTGCTCGCACGTCACCTTCTCCTCGCAGCCCTTAAAGTTGCCTTCCTTCACCAGGATGCGCATGCACTGCTCGCAGCCCGCCTGCGGGTCGCCGAAGATGCCCTCGACCGGCGATTCCATGCCGCAACCCGGGTTGTAGACGTACATGCCGGTGCCGCAGCCGACGCTCTCCTTCAGCTCGGGCGCGCCGGCGATGGCGAGCATCAGCGGGAGCATCATGGTTGGGGAAAGGAAAGGTGGCCAGGTCGCACTTGCGGCAAGGCAAGGCGCGCAGTCGCATTTCTTTTCTTTCCTCTTAATAGTGCGTGTCGTCATCATCTGTCCAGCGTCCACCCATACCGCGTTGGTGTCCAGTCCGAGCCTGGCTGTTCTTCACCTTTCTACCTACCTACCTACTAATAGTGCTCTGATCACCCGAATACCACGTTCGGATCGCTCCTCATCGCAAACCCTGAGAGAGATTTTTAGCAATACCAAACAAATCTAACACTCACACGTCATTTGGGGCCTGGAGCCCTGTTCACGCGCGCGCGAGACGTGCAGACAGGGTTGCCTCAGCAGTTCACCCTCGGGTATGTTCGTCAGAGCTACATTCACTGAAAAAGAAATAATACTTATTTGCCCCACACCTGGGTTCCGGCTCCGACCACGGATAGGGGGTCTGTTGACCACGACTCGCGCCAAAACGCCCTACCTACCTATCTATCCCCAGGCCGCGCAGCGAAGCGAAAAAAGACGAAAACACGGGCTACCTACCTGTTGCAGGGCCCTCTGGGGCGGTCAAAGCCGGACCTACCTACCTATTGCATAGGGTGTCAGCGAGGAAAACAGACCCCCAGGACTCTATCCCCGTACAGGCCAAGTCAGGTTTTTGCTCATGGTGCATTCACTCACACCACCGCAGTACAATCGATTGAGTCCGGGTTTTTTTATGCGTATGATTGTAAGGGCGTGGGGACCCGCCCCAGGACAGGCTCTGGCGTTCGATGGAGCGCTCTGGTGCCGAGGAGAGCCGCTGGCACGAGGTAGATGTGAAGCCAAGGCCGCCTTCGCATAGTCCGACTGCACCGCTGGATATGTGCGGCTGTCCACGGGCCTCCGCCGAGCAAAGACCACGAGGCTACTCACATATGCGGTAATTCGGAGTGTATTTGCGCCAGCCACATCCGCTGGCAGCCAAAGCCCGAGAATCGCGAGGATGTGATTTTCCACGCGAAGCCCTGCCGTGCGGGGACGGCACGAAAGAGCTGGTGAGGCAACGGAAAGAAGGTGCCACAGCGCTGATCACCTTTTAAATAGCGCTCTTGATGACAGGGCAGGCAGTTCCCGACGGGGGACACCCGCCCCGGCCCGCTGGAGTAACCGAATGTCCTGTGGGGATCGTGAGTGTAGCTAGCGTGCGGCAGTGTGGGAGATGCCCTCGGGTCGCGTTGAACGCAGGCCAAGTCAGGTTTTTGCTCATGGTGCATTCACTCACACCACCGCAGTACAATCGATTGAGTCCGGGTTTTTTTATGCGTATGATTGTAAGGGCGTGGGGACCCGCCCCAGGACAGGCTCTGGCGTTCGATGGAGCGCTCTGGTGCCGAGGAGAGCCGCTGGCACGAGGTAGATGTGAAGCCACGACGGGTCGATACAGCAGGCCGACCAGAGAGTGCAGAGTGAGCACTGCCCCTCTCCAAGATCGACTCCTGTGAAGAAGCCCGCCTAGGACCATCAAGGGGAGACCAGGTACACTTGACCCGCGCAAAGAGCTAGATGCAGCCGTACCCATTCTACGGCCTCAGAGCGTATGCCTTGCCGCCGGACGGTGGCGGTCGTGTCGGTGGTTGGGCCGTTTTGCACGACGGCTGTGGCGGCGCTCTGGAGGGGAGGGCGGCCATTTTCGGGTGGTGGATGGCCGGCTTTTGAGGTCTTGCAACCCTAGCTGTGACAGCTTCGGACAGCTCGCGCATTCCTAGGAACAGCGGGCCGGCTAGGGTTGAGGCCACACAGCCCGGGACATGACGAGGGTGGTGGAGGTCCGAAATCACGCCGCTATGCCTCGGCTCCAGCGAGGCCTCTCAGGCCCTAGCTCAGGTATATGCAGTAGCCTGAAGCAGGGAACACCCACCCCCCAGCACCAGTCTTCTAGGTGGAGGCGGGCCCGCTGGTATCGTCGGGAAGGTCGAGGAGGGTGGGTGGATGAGCGAGAACCTGACAAGGCCTGTAGGAATCCTAGGAGCCGGAACCCTGCAGAGAGTCGGGCTCGCGTCTTCCTCGGCCGCCACCCGCCACGGCTCTGCCGCCAGCCCGGGTGTTCAATATGCTCGCTGCCGTCCTCGCCACCGCCACGGGTCTGCTGCCCACCCCGCTGCACCGATACGCCGCCGCGCGGTCCTCGGCTCCGATGGCGAGCAGCTCGGACTACGACGTGAGGCTCGACGAGGTGGCCGAGCGCTCGAGCCGTCTTATCGCTGCGAAGGAGGAGGCGGGACTCTCCTTCGACGAGCTTGCGACGAAGCTCGGCCTGACCAACACCTACACTGCCCAGCTCTTCCTCGGCCAGGCTCAGCTCAAGGCGAATACGGCACCCAAGCTCAAGAAGGCGCTGCCTTCTGTCAGCGACGACGATGTGCAAGCGATGATGGCGCACTTTCCGATGCGTGGCTTTGACGAGAGGATCCTGCAGGAGCCAAACGTCTACCGCACGTACGAGGCGGTCACGCACTACGGCGAGGCGATCAAGCGGATCATCAACGAGGAGTGCGGCGACGGCATCATGTCGGCAATCGACTTTTACTGTGCCCACCCTCGCCTGCACTGTTCACGCCCACAGCCCTCGCCTGCACTCCCTCGCCTGCGCCACCAACCCCTGGTCGGAGCTCCGGCGGTGACTCCTGCCATCCCACGGCCGCGAAGGCGATGTCGGGACGACAACCGGCAAGGCGGGCGAGAAGCGCGTCGTCATCACATTCAACGGCAAGTTCCTGCCCTTCATCGAGCAGCAGGCCGCCGACAACACGGCTTCGAGTCCGAGGGACTAAGAGCGCGCGGACGGGCGATGTGTCTCTCAAATCGCGCGCTGGAAGCTGACCGGCTGTGGTCCGATCCGGGATCCCTGTCCCACGGTGCGCGCACGAGACGCGCCACCGTACAGAGTATACACCCCGGCGGCACGAACGAAGCGGTTTACTCCCCAGACGCCGAGAGAGCTGTGTCCCTGCAGAGCCGTTTATTTATTGTCAAATGTGCCTCAACGAAAGGAGGTGTGTCTATAGACTGACTGACTGTGACTGCCTCAACGAAAAGTCCGGATGGAGCGGATGCGCTCTAGGATCCTCTCGACTCGTGTTTACTAATGTGTAAAATAAATAAATAAAAACGGACACCTCTCTTACTCTACTGTGAGATGGGTAAAAAGGAACAGGTCCCCGCCCTTACTACCCGTTGCCGCTCCCTCGCCATCGCCCGGTGACACCGCCGCCGCTTCAACGCCCCGCCGCCCGGCCCGTCGCCGCCGCTGCCGCTGCTTGCTCAGGCGCTGCACTTCTGTGGATGGCTCCTCCCACAGCGACAGCGGGCAGTCGTGCAGCGCGTCGAGGTAGTGGTGGCAGAGCACGATGCAGTGGCTCGCCAGCAGAGCGCCGCCGCCAAGCGATGCGGCGAGCACACGCCCTCCTCCCCCCGCGGTGGCGCCGATGCGCCACGCAGCCTCAACCTCCTCACCGGTCAGCCCGCGGTCGTCACCCAAAACAATGACGCAATCGTCGAGCCGCAGCGGGCCGCGCTGCCCCTCCGCGCTCGCAGCCTCGCCCCCAGACTCCTCCTCCTCCGCCTCCCCTGTCTCCTCCGCGAGGCGCTGCAGCACCGCCGCGAGGGGGGGCGCGCCCTGCAGCAGCAGCAGCAGCGGCGCGGCGATGCGGCTGCGGCGGGGAGGCGCGCGCGCGAGGGTCAGCGCCTCTTCCAGCGCCTCCTCGAAGCCCCCCTCGGCCAGCCGGAAGCCGCGCAGCTCGCGAGGGCGGGCCGCGTGTGGGGCCGGCTCGCCGTCGGCCAGGTAGTCGATCGCGGCGCGCAGCCGGTGCGCGGTCTCTGCCTCGCAAGGGTGTATGCCGCGGGCGAGGCCGCCGGTGACGCAGAGGAAGCTGGGCCGCTCCATGCCGAGGAAGGGCAGGCAGAGCTCGGTGTTGTGCCGCAGCCGCTGCGACGAGACGAGGGCCGAGGAGACAAGCCGCGCGGCGAGGTCGATCCGCCTACTCCGTCAGTGGTGAGTACGCGCACACATTGGCACTGGCACTGAGCCGTCGGCGGCGAGGCCGGCCCGCCCGTCGCGGAGGCTACTGTCCGGGTCGAAGTCGAGGCTCGCGCGGTGGAGAGGGACGACAAAGCGGCGGACAAAGCAGGCCGGGCCGCAGCGCAGGAACTGGTCGTCGCGCGCCGTGCTACCGCCAAAGGAGCATGCGGCCGCAAGATGGCCTCGCTCGCCGCAAAAGTTGCAGCGCGTCTGCGGGCACTGACGGACGAGGTGGCCCGTCGACCCGCACGTGTAGCAGACCCGCGCCTCTCCCTTTGCCACACGGCGAGCGAGTGCACGATCCCTGGCACAGCAGCGGCACGGTGTGCGGAGGATGCGCTCCGTCACCTTGCAGACGTCGAGCGTGTCGTCGAGCCGTCCATGCCCGACGCTGATGACGTGCCCTCCAACCGTCACCTCGGCTGCGCACAGGCAATGGGCATTCGAGCAGAAGCGAGCACCGGGGTGAGCGTGCGCGGTGAGGCTGGCGGCGGCGTCGTGTACGCGCAGCTGACGAAGCAGCGCTGCAGTCGCCTTGGCTGCAGCGACGGCGTCGGTGTCGGCATCGACCTCGGCGGAGGTCCTCGTGGCGCTATCTCCCATCGACCTCGGCGGAAAGCATGCCCCGGGGGCATGCTTGCACAACTGTTGTAGAAAAAAGAATTTGCCCTGGTCGCTCGCACGACACTAGGCCCTTGGGTTGTCTGTTTTCTTTCTTTCTTTTTAGGCTCGGGACTGGCGCGCACTGGCACTAACACTTCGACTCTGCGAAAAAGAAAAAGGAGGATGTTAAGCGCCGGCGACGGCTCCCGACGCCGAACGCCGCCGCCCAAGAGACGACGCCGTGGCGGGGCGGCTTACGGGAGCGGAGGACAGCCGCGACGCGCTGTGGGGCCGGGAGAAGCCCGGGAGTTGCGAGTGTGCGCCGCTTGCGCCGCCTGTGAGCCGCTCGATGTGCGCCTATTATTGGGCGCGGTCCTCGATCTACTCGTCCCGCTCGTTGGCCTGCTCTCCTCGCAGACGCGTGCAGCGCGGCTCAGCGCGGCAGGCGCTCTGGTGCACGCCAGCCGCGACGAGGCGACGAACTGCACCAAGCTTCGCGAGGCGGGCGCCGTGGCCGCGCTCATGTCGCTCCTCGAGGAGGAGGCTGCAGCCGACGGCGGGGGGGAGCTCGAGATGCAGTCACGGGCCGCGTGGTGCCTCGCTAACATTGCAGCCGATCCTGCCGCCGCCGCCCAGCTTGGCACCGTCCGTACGGGGTACACGCCACTGCTGCACCTCCTTCGCAGCGAGAAGGAGCAGCTGCAGCGGCCAGCTGCAGCTTGCCTCTTCAATGCCACGATCAGCGACGGGAACGCCCCCGCCAGCCTCTTGCAGGTCGGGGCGCTGACGGTGCTCATTAGCGTTGCTGGCCAGCCCGGGGCCAATGGTGACGTCGCTGCTTGGGCTGCGGGCGCTATCCTAAACATGGCCCACCGCGGGTCAGGAGGCTTGCTCTGGGACGAGCTCCCGTCCGACGCGGGCCTTTTGCAGGTCCTGCTTGAGCGCCTCCGCCCGGGCGAGGAGCTGCAGAATGCGAATGCCGCCGGCGCTCTGGGCAACTTGTGCGCGCACTCGGAGGCGGCTCGCCTTCACGCCATCGAGGCTGACGCCGTGGCGTCACTTGTCGCGCTGCTCGATACGTCACCGGTGTCTGGCTTTGCGGCGGGCGCGCTCGCGTCCATCCTCGTGGAGGAGGTGGGGCGGCAAGCCCTAGTGCTGGCCAGTGGAGTTGCCCCGTTGGTCGAGATTCTGGAGTCGGAGGATAGGGACACCGCCGCAGCGGCTGCAGTGGCACTGCTCAACGCCACCGCACACCATCCTGCGTGTGAGCTGTTGCTCGAGGCAGGCGGGATCCCGGCGCTGCTCTCGTGCCTCTCCACAGCCACGCCCTCTGTGCGCCAGCCCCTCAGCCCCTCAGGCCCTCAGGCGTGTTGGCCGTTCCACCGATAACGACGTGGCGATAGGTGCGGGAGCCGGCGGCCGGTGCGCTGCTCAACGCAGCGGCCGACCCGAAATGCGCGGAGGCCATTCGCGATGGCGAGGTGGAGACGATGAGACGGGGCGGAGACGACCCCGTGCAGGCCCTGTCCTTGCTGGGCGAGCTCCTCCAGCAGGTCGAGGCGGGGCCCTTGCTGCGAGGGCGCGTGGCGGGCGTCCTCTTCAACTGCGCGGCTTGCAGCCCCGAGAGCAGGAGCGCGCTCCTCGAGACAGGCGTCGTGTTTGGTGCCGTCGAGCTCTTGCACGAGCTCACTTCGGACGCTGTCGATGCCAAGGGCGTGAGCACTTGGGTCCGCGCGATGGGCGCGGACGCCACAGCCGAGCAGCGCGAGCGTTTGGTCGCCAACACGATTGGCATCGTGCTGAACGCATCTCTCAATCCGGCAGCGAAGCAGGAGGTGCTGCGTGGCGACGGCCTGACGCCACTCCTTGCTGCCGTCTCCTCTAGCCTCAGCAGCAATCCTTCTCTGGCGACCCTTGCCGCCACAGCCATTGCCTACATCAGCGACCGCGCCGAACACCGCCCTGGTTCGCCCGGCTCGGCCGCACGTGCCGCGGACAGCCCGACGCGAAACACGTTCCGCAAGCGCCACTTCCACGCGCCCGACTATGGCGGCGGCTGCCCGGCGGACGACGAGGCGGAGGAGACTCCCGGCGCACGGCCGATCTCGGTCTTCGGGCGCATGCCCGAGGCTAAAATCTCGGCGACGCACGACTCGTCTCTAAAGGGCCCGCGCGTTACATCGGAGCCGGGCGAGGTCTTCGCACGCCGGCAGGAGGCATTGGCACGGCCCGTCTCCTCCGAGGAGGAGGTGCCGTCGCCGCTGCCATCTCCGCTGCCTTCGCCGCGAGAGGACTGATGCGAGATGGCATGTGGAGAGCTAGGTGGAAGGTGGAGAGAGAGGACCGCGCCACCTGCTGTGTGGTACCGTCTACTAGGCGGGGTATCAGCTGCCTCTGGAAGGCACCGAGAGGTACAAATGGCGCAAATGGTCAAATCAAGGGTTTGTAACGCGATCTGAAGATCTCAGATGATCTGTGCCACAGTGAAATGGAACTAGCCCTCGGGCGTCGGGGCGGTTTTCTTTTTTGTACAACACATAGTGCGCGCCAAGTCCAAAAAAGGCACAGGGGCACGCGCGCTCTGTGACATGCATGTGCGCGCGGCGCCGCAGACCGCGGCAGACCCGCAGACCAGACGCAGAGCCCAGTGGCTGCCCAGAGAGAGAGACCAGACCAGACAGGCCGAGAGTCCACGACGCGCACATGGCAGAGCGTGGGAGCCGAGAACGCGAGAGTACGCGCGGCCACCGCCACGGCCAACTAGTGGAGAGCGAATGCACGCCCCCGCCTGGCCAAAGGGTAGGAGAGAGAAGAGAGTACGCGCGGCCACCGCCACGGCCAACTAGTGGAGAGCGAATGCACGCCCCCGCCTGGCCAAAGGGTACTAGGGTAGGAGAGAGAAGAGAGTACGGGCGGTGGTGTCCGCAGCATGCGGATGTCACGGCGACGAAGGCGAGATCTCGGAGGAGCGCCGGCATCGACGGCTCTCAAGGCAGCGTCGGCTCTACGGTGACGATGGTCCACGCGTTCCCGTCGAGGGTGAACGTCTCGAGCGTGCCCACCGCCTGAGTGCATCGTGCGGCGGCAACATGAGGTCTCCACACGCGCGCCTCTAGGTATTTGAGGTTTGCGCTGCCCCCCCCCCCCCCCCCTCCACTCCCCAACCCACTAACCCACTAAGGTCAGGTCCTGGGCGGGCGGCGGACTGACCTGCATGTGGGTGAGAGGCGGGAAGAGGATCTCCTCCTCGGCGGGGAAAGCCGAGAGCCACTTAACGCCCACACCGCGCTTGACGGCACTCGACGTCGCGATGCGCAGGATCACGGACGTCGTGCTAATCGAGTACTCAACTGCGACCTGGAGCGTGCCGGGAGGGGGGAGGGCCAGTGAGGGCTAGGCCGAGGGCAACGAAAAAAGTTGCTTTGGGGCGGGCCTTGAGGTCCGCTGTGGTGCTCATGGGCGCGATCTCGACGCCGCCCTCGTTCAGGAAGTTGGGCGGCAGCTCGACCGACTTCATGCCTCGAAAGAGGTCCATCGGCTGGTTCGCGTCTGCCTGCATCGCTTCGGCGGCGCCGAGCTTCTTGCACGCCTCCTCGACGAGCGTCACGATCATAGGCAGCGGGTGCGGCTTGCCCGCCTTGCGCCGCTCCATGTCGCGCAGTGGGTCGTTGATGTGGGCGAATGCGGCGGTGGTGTAGAGGCGGAGCGCAGCGACGTGCTCGATCTTTACACCCGACTTCTGGACGCGCTCGTCGTCGAAGAAGTCGGCGAGGCGCTTGCCGCCAACGCCGCGGCCGTTGACCCACTTGATGCGCTCTGGCAACAGCTGGCCGTTAGCGTCGCAATCGCGCATCAACCCGTGCTGGAAGTGGATGCTGCTCGCGCCCGCCTCCGAGTCAAGCACGTACGCGAGGCACTCGGAGAGCTCCTCCCCGGCGGTGCCGTGGAAGCCGCCCGGCTCCTGGCCGGCGGCTGACGCGGCGAAGGCGGCCACCTCCTCGCGCATGCCATCGAGGCCCTTGAGCTTGCGGAGCAGGACGACCTTCTCGTCGACGCACATGAAGTTGGTGATGCCGCGCCGGTTTTCGGCGGCGCCGACGTAGGTGAGCTGCTTGGGCGTTGCGATGTTCATCTTCTCGTAGTCGTGCGCCGCCTCGGAGATGCTCGGGTCGCGCTCCAAGATTGTGGAAACCCTCGGCTCGATGGCGCCCCTGCGATGCTGATCAACCGCGGAGACGCCTCGCCGGGCTTGCCCCTGGGCTGCTGTGCGGCGGCGGCAAATCATGTACACGACGCCTAACATAAGGAGACATGCCAGGAAGCCACCGACCGCCCCCGCGATGACGGGAATGCTTGCCCCCCCTGAGCTTGCCCCCTCATCGTTCGGCGAGCGCGTGGAAGTAATCGACGGCGCAGAGGGGGGGGAGGCGGGCGGCGACAGCGGCGGCGGCGAGGCGGAGGGAGGAGGCGGAGACGGTGAGGCGGAGGGAGGCGGCGGAGACGGTGAGGCGGAGGGAGGCGGCGGAGACGGTGAGGCGGAGGGCGGCGGCGGCGGCGGCGGCGAGGGAGGCGGCGGCGAGGGCGAAGCCGAGGGCGGCGGCGGCGAGGGCGAGGCGGAGGGGGGCGGCGGCGGCGGCGGCGGCGAGGGAGGCGGCGGCGAGGGCGAAGCCGAGGGCGGCGGCGGCGAGGGCGAGGCGGAGGGCGGCGGCGGCAGCGGCGGCGAGGGAGGCGGCGGCGAGGGCGAAGCCGAGGGCGGAGGCGGCGAGGGCGAGGCGGAGGGGGGCGGCGGCGGCGGCGGCGGCGAGGGAGGCGGCGGCGAGGGCGAAGCCGAGGGAGGCGGCGGCGAGGGCGAAGCCGAGGGCGGCGGCGGCGAGGGCGAGGCGGAGGGCGGCGGCGGCGGCGGCGATGTGGGAGGGCGAGGCGGTTGCGACGGCGGCGACGGCGGGCACGCAAACGAGCTCCAGTCGTAGGCGTCGGGCCACGCGCTCGTCTGCTTCACAAAGCTGGCGTAGATGAGCGCCTTGTTGCAGTCACTGAGGGAGGTGGCGCGGTCGAACATCTCGACCATATTGGTGACCGCCGACGTGTCCCACGACCCGATGTCCTGGTCGAAGGAGGCGGCGTCTCGGAACATGCCCACCATCACGGTGACCGCCGACGTTACCCACGGCCCGATGTTCTGGTTGAAGGAGGAGGCGAGTGCGAACATGCCGCTCATGTCGGTGGCCGCCAACACGTCCCACGACCCGATGTCCTGGTCGAAGGCGATGGCGTTCCAGAACATGCCGCTCATAATGGTGACCGCCGACACGTTCCACGACCCGATGTCCTGGTCGAAGGAGGAGGCGCCGCCGAACATGGAGTTCATGGTGGTCACAGCCGATGTGTCCCAGGACCCGATGTCCTGGTTGAAGGAGGAGGCACCATAAAACGTCGCCCACATGCGAGTTACAGCCGACGTGTCCCACGACCCGATGTCCTGGTCGAAGGAGGCGGCGCCTTGGAACATGCACAGCATCTCGGTGACCCCCGACGTAACCCACGGCCCGATGTTCTGGTTGAAGGCGGAGGCGCCTCTGAACGTATTGCTCATGTCTCTGACCGCCGACACGTTCCAAGCCGAGATGTCTGGGTTGCACGTTTCCTTGCCTGTCGGAGACGAGCCCACGTATACATTCGGGCACCACGACTCAGCGCAGAACAGACCCGCTATGTCCGTGATGGCCCCAACGTCCCACCCCGAAATGTGGCCATACCGTGCGAGGGCCGCCGACTCGTCGGTGCACCACAGGTTGACCGCGGCCCTGAGGTCGGCCGTGGACGAAAATGAGGCATAGGGCATAGCTGACGCCGCGCAGGCGCGAGCTGGCGGGCGGGCCGAAGGGGAACAGGTGTTTGATGGTGAAGGCGGGCAAAAGCTAGCCAGACGCCGTTGAAAGTCAGGCACTTTTTCACAGGTAAAGTACTCCACTTTGGTGAGAGAGAGAGAGAGAGAGAGAGTCTCTCTCTCTCCACTTTGGTTAAGGCAAGCTTGACCGTATTAAGGCTGACCTTACCTTACCTTACCTCTCCAGGCATTTGGAGCACTTGGAGTGCAGTCATTAACCGCACATCCAGGGCCGGGGAGCTAAGAAGCGCACCCAGCGAGCCGGATGATCGGCATCGGGCTACGGGCTAGAGAGCCCTGACCCCTAGGGGGGGTGCGCGTTCGCAGGGAAAGGGCCGTAAAACACGGGTCTCCGAGGGTTGGCTCCGTGTACCGGGTTTCCCCTTAACTTCAGAACGCCCCCTCTACTCGGAGCTAGCTAGTAGACACGACACTGTATACCACGCACGTACACAGGCCCTCACTCAGCATCCCGTCTCTCAGGGTTCCACCGCCCGCCTTCTCGGGGCTCCGATTCTCAGTGATACGCTCTTTTATTCGCCAGCCGAGCGTCGTGTGACGGCCGCTGTAGCCGTTTCTGATGTCTCTTCTTCGGCCATGGTCCCGCTCCCGCCTCACCTCCGACTGGTACTGCCGCCTCCGAGAGCGTCGACTGCCCCTGGTCGGCGAGTCGCGCCCGCATCCGCGGCCTCCCTATCGTCCTCGGCTCGCCCCTCCCCTCCGCTGGCCCCTCATCGAGCTCGGGGAGGCGTGGCCCTCCTTGATCATCGCAGATCCCGGTGGTCCGGCTGCCGCCGCGACGGGTCTACCCCTGGTGAGCTCGTATGTCCCGACCCCACTCGCAGGGGCCGAGTTATAGCTCAACTCTCACCCCCTCCGACAGTTGACTCCAGGTCTCACCCGGGGCCCTCCGGTCCCGGCCTTCCAGTTCGCTGGGATCTCCCCACGGCATCCCCCCCCTCGGTCCCCTCCCTCGGGTTTTCCAGCCTCCGGCGGGGCGGCTCCAGGTCCCCCAGGTCCCGTGCTCCCGTGCGGGTCCGTACGGTGACGGCCACGCCGGCGGCGGGGGCGGAGGCGGCGGTGGGGGGGGCGGGTACGGTGGCGGCACTGGCGGCCGCACCGCCTGGTGTGGAGCCTCGGGGGCGGCCCCACGACCCTGCGGCCTCTCCAGCCGCGGCTCCACGCGCCGATCGTCCACCGCACTCCGGGGGGGGGATCTAACCCTTGCTTGCCCCCGAGGAGGGAGGGGGGCAGGGCCCGGGCTCGCCGCTGGCCTCGCCTCTCCTCCCCCTCGCACTCCGCTAGGTCGCAGGCTGTCTATCAGTCGCGTCGCTTCCTCGTTCACCCGATCTCCCTCGATCCGCTCCCGCACTGCCCGAATGTCGAAGGCCGAGTTGTGTTCAGACAGCGGGCCCGCCGATGCCACTCGCTTCTTCACACAGCAGGCGTATGCCATCATCGCCTGCCCCCCCGACTGTGTCGGTCCTGGTGCAATGTCGTT